AAATGTCCCTCCTGGAAGTTCCCTCTGAAGCACCCATGGTCATATGTAGGGGTCTGGCCTCCCTGTCTATGGTACACTGGGCCCTGGCCCCTATTCCCCAGCAACAGCCCTCACCGGAAGGAGAGAGAACGCCTGGTGCTGGCCTGGACTGTAGGAACGAGCTGGAGCGGTCCCTGCCTCCTGCCCCACCTGCGCTTCTGCTGTACATCCCTGTGTGTCTGCATGCACTGGTGTCCCAGGTGTGCGGGCTCCTCGTGATTCCTTGTGACCCACCTGAGCAGCTCCATCGTTGTCTGTGTCGTGTACGTCCATGCAAATGTAACCACATGTGCATCAGAGCCGCCTCCGTCCAATACCTGAATGGAACTGGGTTGGGGGAATAAAACCTGCTTGGACCTGAGTATCTCTTTGTGGGGGTGGAGCGAGTCCACATTTGAGACCCTCCCAGAGAGCCAGCCACTCACCGATGGGAGAACTGGCCTGTGCCCTGTACCAGGAAGAAACCAGATGGCGAATCAAATGAACACCAGGCCCAAGGCCTCATGGAAACAGATTTTCTGCTGCTGCTTTCTGAGCCCTTTGTTAAATTTTCATGAGGATACACAAAACTCAGAGGGAGGGCCTAATACCTAATCAGTCTCTGATACAAGAAAGAGGAGGGTGATGCCATGCAGGCTGGAAAAGCCCAACCCAGCTTTGGAAGGCTCTCCCCGGACCAGCTGCTCACCCCTCCGGCCTGCCCCCTCGCTGCTTCTTTACAGACCGCCAGCCTCTCCCAGGAGGGGGCAGGTGCCTGCCGCACCTTCTCCCTGGGAGAGGCCTGGGTTACACGGCTCTCCTGCTGGTCCTGTGTGTGTGGTCTGGTGTTGGCGCCCCATAGAGTAGATATGCGCCGTGTTGCTTCATGTAACCTCCCTCACATGCATGTCGGCTTCCTGCAGGGAGGAATGGAGGGGAGTGGACCAGGCACCCTTGCCCCAGCCTGGACAGCTGGGTACCACAGGGCAGCCACCCCACAAGCCCCGCTCTCTCCTTCCTGGCTGTGTAGATGCACACACGTGGGCCACGCCGTGACTGCAGCTGCCCTTCCGTGCATCAGCCTTTCCCTCACACATCACTTGCCGTTCTCTGGCCTTGGCTCACCCTTTGCCTTTCCACGTGAGTGCACGTTGCAGTTAAACAATCTGTACATACAGGTAAGTGCGTAGGCGCGGCAGGCCAAGCAGCAGGAGCAAGGCATCACTCACAAAAGGCAGACTGACCAGAGCGGAAGTCGGGACATCTGGGTCCGTCCTTAATTCTGCTGGAATCCTCCTGCGTGATTTTAGATAAACCATCTAATCCCCTTGAGTCTCCTCGCCCTCATAAAGCTCTCTCTCAGGGATTGCAGAAAGTCTGGAACATTCCTGCATGTCAGCTGGGTAGCAAATTCAAGAGAAGGGCTGAGAGGGCTGATGTTCCCACGTCCACCTCTCCCTTAGCTCCTGGGTGCCTGATTAGTTAGTTGGTCAGGGGCCAGCTGGTGTCAGAGCAAGGTGGGTAAGAAGATGCAGAGGCACAAACGCTTGTCTGTGCTGTTTGGGGAAGGTCGGCACCCTGCAGGAGGCCCTGGGAGGATGCAGGGGCCTGCTACTAGGCCATGCCCTTGCTCCCCAGGCCTGCAGCCAGTGGGTAAGCCTACCTGCCCAGACCCCAGTGCATGCGGCTGCTCTGGCCTGGAGTGCCCTCACCCCACCATCTCAGACTTCCGTGTCTTCCTTCACCTGGATGTGTGTCTCTGGGATGGGCTTCAGGACCTAAGCATCCCTCGTCTTCCTCCAGGCTCGGGGTGCCCCAGAAACCCCAGTGAAACATTTGTGGTGAGCTGTTTACTCCTGAGAAGGAGGAAAGGTAGGGGCTTCATGGAGAAGAAATGGTATGACAATGCACAGGTTGCCACAGGGCTCCCAGTCGGTGGCCCTAGGACAGCTTCCTACACCACATCGGTTCCTGGCTGGGGGAAGGAAAAGCGCCTGCTTTAGAAACTCGCCCCACAGGGCAAAGAGACTGGCGCTCCTAGGGGCTGTGACGAGAGTCTCCTTTGTCAAGGCTCACTGTTTGAGACAGACTCTGCCTCAGAGCCCCAAGGCCACACCCAGTATGTAGTGCAGGGCTGAGGGGACCTTGGCACAGGAGGTCATGCCAGCACTGCCTTGGTGCCAGTCATGCTCTGCTCTCTCATCAAATTGTCAGGAGAGCCTTCCCAAGGACAGCTCACAGATGCCACTCTGCCAAGTAGCCTTCCAAGGCTGCCTGCATAGCCAGCTCCCCTGGAGAAGGGGCAGAGTACCTCCTTAGGGCTGAATACAACCCGGGGACTGAGACCAGATCCCTTACCTCCCCCTTCTGTAGTCTGAGTTTGCGCCCCAGGGGCTGAGCTGGCAGTGGGCTTGCAGCCAGGACCACCGTTCAGCCAGTGCCTGGCTGGCTGCAGCTGCTGTCACTCCTTGGCAGCTGGGCACCTCCCCCAGTGGCAGGAGAGGTTTCGCTGGCAGCCAGCAGAGGCTGACGTCCTTGAGTGGAAGGCTGTGGGTGTGGAGACAGCAGCTGTGTTTCTTCTTGCCTGAACAAGCTTTCCCAGTCCTTTCCCCTCCCCCTGAAAGCGGCCTTTTCAGACATTTTACAGCAAATGCAAATCATATGCTTGTCCTTAATGGGCAGACCCAGCCTGGAAAGGATGTCAGTTTTCCCCAGAACCTAGGCGTGTCCCTGTCTCTCCAGGATGCCTGAGTCAGCGTGGCAGGGGCGGCTCTGCCTGCAGTCCAGCACCGCACCCTGGCTCCCTGGAGAAACCTGCCGTAGGCTCTTTCTGGACTCAGCCCGCTGCTGGGTGTGCTCAGCTCTTTGTTGCGGTTGGACGCAGTCTTCCTGGCCCCTCTGCTCCGAGACTCTCCCTAAGTTCTTCCTTTCAAGCTCTCAGAGCACTGCTGCTCCTGACAGACTCAGGCTCAGCTACCAACGATGGCATCTCCTTTTTTTTTTTTGGAGAGGTTTTTGCTATAGGGCGCATGCGCTCGCCAGACAGACAGACAGACAGAAAGCAAGAAATCATCCCCCAGGGGGGCTGGCCATGCCACAATCCCTTCTCCTCCATTCTCCTCTCGGGATCTTGGGCATGCACACACACACACCCGGCGTGAGTTTAAGCCGCCGGGTCCGGGACTCAAACCACAGTCAACTACATGGGAGTCTAGCAACATAGCCATTACGCTAACTGCTGGTCTCAAAAATGGTGG